AGGTTGATCATCTTTGCATACGTATATTGTCTGTTTGGTTTTCTTCTTCTGAGAATCATTTACTCACATTCTTGCCCATGTTTCAATTGATTTGTTTTTCTTTTCCTTATTGATTTGCAGGCTTCTTTATTCTGGATGTGAATCCTTTGTTAGTTTTATTCAATGCACCTGTTTTCTCCCAATCAATGCCATGTTTTTCACTTTGTGGTGCTCTTTTTGTTAATTGAAAGGTCTGAATTTCAATATAATTTAATTAGCAACTTCTTTCTTTATGAGTTGTACTTTTGTGTCCTCTTAGAGAAAGTCTATCTTACCCAAAACTACAGGAATATATTCCTACATGATCTCTCAAAAATGTTAAGACTTTGCTTTTCACATTTAGGTGGATTATATTTTGCATAAGGTACAAGATAGGGATAGAATTTTAATTTATTTTTTACATAGCTAAGTATACAAGATTTGCATATAAGATATAATTATGTTATATATCATGTTTCCACATATAAATGTGTATGTTTTCTGGGCTATTGGTCGAAAACATTTGTCTATTTGACTATATGTGTGGCAATATCACACTGCTTTAATTGCTATACCTTAAGAAATTTTGGCATCTAGATAACTGAAGCCCCTTCTGTCTTGTTCTTTTCCAGAATAGACTTGGCTATTCTTGGCCATTTGCTCTTCCATATAAATTTTAGATTCAGCTCATCAAATTCTACCAAAGGCCCTCCTCAAATTTAACTGGAATTACATTTAATTAAAAAGTTAATTTAGTAAGACACCAAATTAATGATATTAAATCATCCCATCCATGAATATGATGTAACTATTCATTGATTCCTTTCAATAAAGATTTCTAATTTTCTCTATAAATATCTGATATGTCTTTAATTAGATTTTGTAACAGGGATTTAAATATTTTTTTGATATTGTAAGTGGAAATTTTAAAAAATTATATTTCTAATTGCTGGCTTCTCGTGTATAGGAAAACAATACATTTTTATGTATAAATTTTGCACCAAATAATTTCTGAATATTTGGGGGGTCTGTTTATCATTAAATAATCCTGGATGTTCTCTATAAGCAATAAATTTGTCTGCAGGTAATGACAGACGTTTTTCTTCTTTTCTAATTCTCACACATTTTATTTCTTTTTATTGTCTCACTGTCTTAACTAGGACTTCTAAGTACAATTCTTAAGACATTCTTGTCTTATTACTTCTAACATTTCACTTTTAAAATAATGTTTAATATAATTTTTGGTTGATACGCTCAATCAGCTTTAAAATGTTCACTTATATATGTTCATAGTTTGATGAGTTTTTGCAAAGTATGAATGGAAATTTAATGTTATCAAATACTTTTTATGCAACTAGTGATGAGACGATATAGTTTTTCTCTTTTTAACTGTGAATGTGATACATCACCTTAGTTCATGTGAATGGTTTTTCAGAATGAACTCTATCAGATATACAAATAAATAAACAAATAAATAAAAGAACATCTTGTACCTACTACTTAAAAAATAAAGTATTATGGACTCTTTTGAAGCCCTCACTCCTGCATAACCTTACCTAAATGAATTCCCCATTACTATTAAATAAATAAAAGAACATCTTGTACCTACTACTTAAAAAATAAAGTATTACGGACTCTTTTGAAGCCCTCACTCCTGCATAACCTTACCTAAATGAATTCCCCATTACTATTATCCTAAATTTGATTTTTATTTTTTCCATCTTCTACTATACATGGATATATTTTCTAGTGACAGATTATCCTTAAATTCCTGAAATAAACCCACCTAAGCCATGATACCACACATCATATTAATAATCTTATGATCATAATGCAATATTTCTAAAACAAAAATTAGCAGGCTCAATTCAGCTTTTATTCTTTCTTGAATATTTGGTATTACTCAAAACATTTTTTTAAAAAAGTCAGTTCCTCTCTCCCTCCCTCCTTTCCTTCCTTCTCCTTTTCGTAGCTTTGTTCATTTCCTTACTTCTTTGCTTGGGGGTTGCCATACTAAGGGGGTTGTGTGAATTTGAACTTTAAACCCAGGTGAGGTAGAGCCTAGGCTTTCAAATTTTCAGAGAAACTACTTTTTATTCTACCTTGAGTCCAGGCTAAGGCAGACAAGCTGTCCTAACATGTCCCTATGCCAGTGGACAGCTTTTTCTTTCTGTTCACCCTTTCCTTTGTTTTATGTTGAAGAGGGGAGAGGACATCTTAGCTTCAATTTTGTAAAGTCCCAGGGCTTTGACTTTTGTGCCTTTGTTACAGTCCTCTTTACCCCTTCACTCCAGGACAACTGCAGCATCAGCTTTTTTCACAAGCCTTGGAGAATTTCCTTACCTCTTTCAACTTCAGATGTATTTCAAAGATGCTTGTGCAATTTTATATAGGTGAGTTTCAGGCTACCTGCACCACATCAACAGAACCAGAAGTCCCCCCAAATGTGATACTGATTATTTTGAACATGTCAATCCTCCTAGAATTTTATTTAAAAATAAAAAATCCACACAAGGTTGTGTGGCTTTTGTTTGCTTGCTTCTTTCAAAAAACATTCTCAGAATCACCAAGCTATGAAGAATGAAAATCCTTAGATAAGGACTATGTGAGTCATTCATTTGTACCCTCTTCTACTAAATTAATATTGATATCATATTTTGTACTTCTACTAAGGCTGTCAAAGTCAAATCTAATACCAAATTATTTTTCTGTCTTATTGAATAGAAATCTCAAAATGAAGCCAAATTTTCATGGTTTTGAGATTATTACAGTGACACCTCCCATCAAATTACTGCAGGAACTCTGGAATTAGAACCATCCTTAGAAGATTTTGGCCCATGCTCAGTCACCACAGACTGTGGCCTTGCTCACAGTTCTTTTATCACCTCATCTTTCCGAGGTACTAATACATGTAAAGAAAGCAGGACAAATCCTTGATGATCCTGATCATACAGGGCTGGTTCCACATCAGCCATTAAATTTTGAGAGCAAGATACAGGAAATCCACCCAAATTGTATCTTGGGTGGTTTTTAGGACAAATTTTCAATTGTCGCTTGTGCTTCAGACAAGCTCTCTATGTAAAACAATGAACAGGAATATCATTTTTTTTAGAAGCAATTATAAAAGAGACCGGGAAACAACACTTGTCAATTACTAGATTATTCTGCACCGGGAAGATATCAACATTTGCTCAATTATCAGCTATTAGCTTTTTGACTCTTGATTTCTCTTTTCTTTAAATCTGTCATAGACCTAAATCAAACACATGATAATGTTCACCTTTCTTCAAATTCTTTAAGTTCCTTCAGAGAAAAGTCTCTCTAGACAAATATAAAGAAAAAAAACCCTCCAATATCTAATATATTTATTTTCCTTAAATTATAGACCTATTTTTGTCTTTAGGCTAGTAACTTTGTTACTACCTTTCTCATTCTGCACAGTAATGCTACACCCCTCCAATATCTAATATATTTATTTTCCTTAAATTATAGACCGATTTTTGTCTTTAGGCTAGTAACTTTGTTACTACCTTTCTCATTCTGCACAGTAATGCTACAGGGCTGCTGGAAGGGACAGGGACAGCAGAAAAATTCACCCCAGCAGTTCAGTTCCACTCGAATCTTTCCTTTGCACTCTGCTCCTTTTTCCAGTTGGGGACTGACTGTGTGTTGCTGGTATCTGACCAGGGCCTGTACTGGAAATAGATCCTGCCTTAGCCACTGGTTTCTCCAGAAGAGAATTTCATCAGGGGAGCTTGGTGCTCCCTGAAGCGAGCAGGATAAAACAGATAGCCCTATCATTCTTTTATCCTCCTTTCCCTCTATTCTTCAGTGGAATGATTTTGGGGGAAAAAGGGCAGACAATCAAGAGGAAGTAATTAACATGGATAACAGTGAATTTGAGAAATTTTTTTTGAGCTCCAGAAACTTATAAATGAAGCTCTATTGGTAACACACCTTTTTTTAGTAATGCATACTGCTAAGCCTCCACCTACTTATTTTCTAGAGGAATGAAAAAAGCTGAGTGATTTTTAAAAAATATTATCTTAATTATGGAATATGACAAAATTGAGATATTTTGTTTCAACATTTTTAATGTTGACATGAGCTTGCATTTCATATGTAGAAAACTAACAAAACAGAGGGAAGAGAAAATATCTGTATTTATAATGAGTAACTGAGTCATGTAACTTATAAATTTTTTTTGATTAAAACAGTGCTTTGATAAAATAGGATTTACTGTTATAAAACCAGAAGCTTGGCCCTTGTTCCATGAATCAAACTGATAATTGCTTTTTAAAAATCTCTAGGATAAGCAGCAGGACAGTTATGCAAAATCTGGTTTTATTTAATAACCATTAAGACTTTTCTTTCTTTATAAGCTTATATAAAAGATGGACTATTAGTGTCTTTAGAAAGTTAAACTGATGTTTTTGAAAGGCTAAGAGCTGCATATAAATATAATTGTGTATGATTCTGTTGTTTGAGTCCTCAAGACTCACTGCACGCCTCTGTAGTGAAACATTAAGGAACAGCAGGTAAGAGCGCAGACTCTTAACTCAGACTGTCTCACCTGGCTCTGCTATTTATTAGCACTGCTCTGATCTAGTTATTTAACATCTTTGTGCCTCACTTTTGACATCTGTAAAGTGGAGATAGAGATAGCATCTACTCATAAGGGTGTTCTGGGAATTAAAGGAGTAAATGCACTTTTAGTACTTAGACTGGGAAGAGTAAGTGCCCCTCCAAGTTTCAGCTAATCTTTGATACTCTTTGACTTTTTTTTTTTTAATCATAGGCAGTTAAAAGTTGCTTACCAATCTGGGATCAATTTCTCACTGCCTGGGAAGAGTAAGTGCCCCTCCAAGTTTCAGCTAATCTTTGATACTCTCTGACTTTTTTTTTTTTAATCATAGGCAGTTAAAAGTTGCTTACCAATCTGGGATCAATTTCTTCATTAAGAACAGCTTCATTTTTTATCAGTGCCACTCGTTGTGCAAATCTGCATGTAGATATAGACTCCTGAGAAGAAAAAATAACTTAAAATATTATGGCATAGAGAGATATCTCTCTCTAGATGAACTTCAACTTGTATTCACAGAAAAAATAGGCACACCTAAAAAGTGATGTATGTAAAAAAATCACGATGGGGAAATATGCCTCCAAATTAGGGAGCTTTGCTCTAGGACATTATTTTTTATCAAAATTTTGTCTTGGCTTAATAAAGTGACCAATGCCAAAAATGTGGCAGAGCCTAAGGTCCTAAGTGGCAACTGGCACGTGATTTTCAACCTCTCACCTGTTAAACCAGAACTACATGTATAAATGATAATCATAACAGCTACCATAACCCACAAACATTAAGGACTACAAAATAAATATTTGTAACAGACCAAAAGGAGAGATTTTTCAAGGTATCTTACAATCAGAGGCTTGCCCTTGTTTTGAGAAGCACCCTACTGCTTCCTGTTTTCCTCTTTCGGAGAGTGTCTGATCCCAAACATTCAACTGAAATCCATGAAACATCACCTGGCTCCCAAGCAACCCAGGAAAGTCATTTGGCAGCCACAGCATCCTGCGTGCTGCACCCTGCTACATGATTAGGGAAACATCTCAGGGCTATCTCCAAGGTATCTGGATCTTAGTAATCAGCAGCAAAATAGCAGGAGAAGCTGCCTGGTCACATCACTTATGTTTCTGGCTGAGGTAACAAACCCAAGAGCAGGCCTTCCAAAATTTGTGTATGAGACTTCTTCAAACCATCCTGTGCTATGTGAAGTCAGTTCTCAAACGGGGTTATTATGATGCTGGCAAACAACCCAAATCTGTGAACTCTGCAGGGCTTTTACTTCTGAAGGCATATTTCAATCCAGCTGAAAAGATGGAAACCCACCCGGGACCCTAACTCCACCTCACAAGCTAGCAGTAAAAACCCAGATTAAGATCTCCAGAAAGAAGAATGAACATACATCGATATTCCTTTTCTCTAAGGAGAGTGTTGCAATCATAGTTGTCATGCAGTTCCCTCCCAAACTGTCTCTTAGGACACTGGTCATCATGGAGTTCCTATAAGGAATGTGTGAACGGTGTTTTTCTGAAAGGGCAATGATAACCTGTGGTAAAGTAGAAAAATAATGCCATTAACTTAGCAGAAAATGCACACATGACAAACAACTGAGCTTCAACAGCAATAAAAATACAGAAAGAAAGAATAACTAAATGCAGGGAGACACCCAAAACTTGGGTGCAGAATAAGTATCTTAACAATACTTATTACAAAAATGGTGAAGGCGGAATAAGTGAATGCAGCATAACCCTAGCATGTGCTTCCTGTAATTTTTGGACAGATGAAATTACTTGTGTGGAATTAGATGCACTATTATTCTGTTTTCAGTCATTGGAAAATTTGTATAAAAACACAGGAGTAAATCATGCCTGAATACTTTAATCCTACCAAAATTGGGCCATAAGCCCCATCTCTAAGGTAGAAGAGGCAGAAGAGTAAATAAGAACTACGGGAAGCAATATAGGATAAGGTTGAGATCCCAGATTCCGATGCAAGGTTGTCCAGGTACAAGTTACTTTAATCCTACCAAAATTGGGCCATAAGCCCCATCTCTAAGGTAGAAGAGGCAGAAGAGTAAATAAGAACTATGGGAAGCAATATAGGATAAGGTTGAGATCCCAGATTCCGATGCAAGGTTGTCCAGGTACAAGTCCTCGTCTTACAAAGGCATGTCACTCAACGTCTCTACCTCAGTCTCCTCGTCTGTAAAAGAGGGATAAAAATAGTAATCTACCTCATAAGTAGTTGGGATGATTAACAGAGTAAAAATGTGCAAATTACTCTGAGTGGCACCTAGCCTGTAAGTGCTGTACATGTGTTTGCTGTCATTATAAGTGATGGACGTAGTTTACCTTGGTTCAGCACAGGCTTGTTCATCTTATTCTTCATGTGTTTCTTAGGTATTTAATAGGAAGGTATGAGGCAGACAGATGTTAGATGGATAAAAGGCTGCTGGGGTTGTCCCCAAAGGGAGGCACCAGGGGCTCAGAGTTATCCTGGGGAGATGAAGCCACTGCTAGGATGTCCATTACAAAGCAACAGGAATAAGTGACCCACAAAATGTGACTCAAGCAGCATCACAAAACCCTGGCTCCTGAAAATACTCCTGCCAACACCTGCCATTGTTCTAGTCCTCGCTTCTTCCAGGTCTGTTATTCCCATCATCAGAAAGTCTTCTACTCCTTTGGTTTACAAAACAAGATGGAAGCATTGTTTTCTGATGGCTGCTTTGAGCAAAAACATACAACTATACCTCCAGTCTTGCTTAAACTTCATGACCACAGATGTCACTATAAACCAGCAATCCTATGATCTCTTTCTCAACAAACACTTTTTCACCCTCAGAAATGAGGCCTTCTTCCTGTAGTCTCCTTTCTTCACACATTTATCCAACCTCTCCTCTCACCAACTTCAGTTTGAGCGGCTGGCCATCCTTCCAACTAGATATCAGCAACCGGACCAGAACTCTCTCACGCTCCCGTCACTAAATCTCTAAGGCCAGCCCCCTTCCTCCCCTTCTGCTCTCACCTACTTTGCTCCTACGATCACCTCCTCTCACTTCTGCATCAGTTTCTCTCTCTCCTCTGCATGGTTCCCATTCAGCATGCCCACTACAGGACTAAACTAAGATGGCTCTTGCCAAAGTCATCAGTAACCTCCATTGTACCAGAGGCACTGACTGCCATCTTACTAGATTTCTGAGCTGAGTAAGCACTCAACACAGGTACTCATCGCCTCCTTTGAGAAACACCTTATTCACTCGGTAATCGAGAGACCGCACTTCCCTGGTTTTCATCTTTCCTCAAAAACTAGTTAATAGTTGCTTCCTTTTCTTCTTCCCAAATTATAAATATTGGAGTTCTTGATCCTCTTCTCTTTCTTATCTACACACTCTCCCTATGTAATGTAATCTCATTCAGTTCCCTGGCTTTTAAGTGCATCTATATCCTTATGTCTTCCCAATTTATGCCATCAGTCTCGACCTCTTCCTGAGCTGCTCTCTTCCTGGCAATTCCACATCTCTCCCTGGATTTTTATTCTGGATTTTCTCTCCTTTCTGGCCCCAGGCCTGCTTCTTCCCCAGGCCTTACCCATCACTTTTGATGGCACCACCATCCACCTAGTTGCTCAGGCCACAATCCTAGGCATCATCTCCGATGTACCCCTACCCCCAAAATCTAATTCATCAGACATTTCTCCTAGGTTTACCTACAAAACTTATCCAGAATTGGACCACTTCTCACCACCTCTACTCACCACCACTCCAGGTCAAGCCCCCTTGGTCCCTTCCTTGGACAACTGCACCAGGATTTGAAGCACTCTCCCTGCTTCTACAATAGTTTGCCCTTGCATGGACTATTATCCTCAGAGCAGCCAGAGGAATCTTTTAAAACCTAAGTCACATCAAGTCACCCCCTGTGCAGAGCCTTCCAGTTGCTTCCCAATACATTTAGTATAATAACCCAGCTCCTCTATGATCTAGTCTGTTTACCTGTCTGACCTCACGTCCTGCAATGCTCCCCTTGCCTACGCTGGCCTTCTTGCTGTTGGCCCAACATGCCAAGCTTATCCCCATATTGGAACCTTTAAACTTGCTGTTCCTTTTACCTGGAAGGCCATTGCCCAAGATTTTTGTACAGCTTTTTGCTTCTCATTCAAATTTTTGCTCAGATTTTGTCTCTTCACAGGGCTTTCACTGGACACTCTACCAAACATAATACCCATCTCCAGCCGGCCATTGCCCAAGATTTTTGTACAGCTTTTTGCTTCTCATTCAAATTTTTGCTCAAATTTTGTCTCTTCACAGGGCTTTCACTGGACACTCTACCAAACATAATACCCATCTCCAGCCCGTTACTCTATTTCATTTTCCTTCTAGTACTTATCATTATTTAAAATTACATTTGTCTACTTATTTATCTGCTTCCCCACTAGATTTTCTGTTCTACAAGGCCAGAGACATTGTCTTTCCTATTCACACCTCTATCCGCACCTGCCTAGAACAATGTCCAGCACTTAGTACATGCTGCAGAAACTAAATTGTTTTACTCAACTCTCACAAGAACCAACATTCTAGTTTGACTTCCTATACAACTAAATTTCTTAGTCTCTCTTGCAACTCATGTTTTGCTTAAGACCTAGCTCAAATGAGTAGGCAGCCCTGTGTGGGAACTGGAGGTGGTCAATGAGAGGTGGCAGTCATAAGGAGGAAGATCAGATCTGTGGGAGTGTGTGCTGGCAGAAGCATCTGGTTCTTCTGAGGCAGCTGTGGGTAAGTTTCCGGAACTCAGAACTTAATGTCCTCAGTACCAAGTGGGGATAACAGCAGTATTCTGCAGAGCAGTTCAATGGTGTAGTTAGGTATGTCTCCGGCTTGCTCTGCTCCCAGCTGGGTAGTACCAGTTTTCTAAATTTTCTTGAGATTCTTTATGTTTAATAAACTCCATCCTGCATAAAATAGCTAGAGTGGATTTTCCAGTTTGCAACTAAGAAATTTGACATGACAACATGTGCTCGACAAACTTCTGTTAAATGAACAAATGAATGAGCAGATTAATTAGTTTCACCTAGAAGGCAGTGTGAAGGTTGTTAGTATGGAATGAGATTTGAGAGAACAAGGTTTCAATGCAATTGGAAAGGAAGTGGGGAATATGGCAGACCCAAGTCTGAGTGGCAAGGGATGCTGAACAGAGCTCCAGGACCTAAGAGCCAAGAGGACAAATTAAATGTCTGAAACAGGCAAGGTAGGCCCAAATATCAAATACCAGACCAAACAGGTTGATCTGACAGATGTGCGGAGAGAATGGCATTATTGCTTATGAATCACCAATTTAGTATGTAACGATTCTCTAAGTACTTTATAATTCTTCTGTAAAACAAATACCACTATTTTTCCCTCCTGTTCTAGGAAACAATGTTGATATCTTTTCTATTCAATGGCTTCACTGAAAACTTACATTACATAAAGGAGAATATGCTTACTAAACTTCCTGTTTATATTAAATCAAATGGTGTGTTAATGAACTTGCTTTTGGTTACAAGTCACAGAGATGTAACCCAAACCAGTTTCAATGGTAAGGGAAATTTATTGGCTAATTTAATTGAAATAGGAAATGCTTTAGGTTAGAAGTGACCCAGAAGGTTACTGCTACCATGAAGGACCAAGTTTTTGCCCATTTCTCTGTTCTATCTTCTATGTGGTAGAAGCTGCTTCTCCTCGTGGCCACAGGATGGCTGCCAAATGCTCTAATGTTGTATACTCCCTTATTCATAGCTTAGGTGAGAAAGGACTTTTCCTCCCTAACCATTAAACAAAAGTCCTGAGCTTCACTAGGGACCAGCCTGGGTCCTGGGTCCACCCTTGAACCAATCACTGTAGCTGGGAGAAGGACAGGCTTCAATTCCCTTAGACCAGTCAGCATCTACCCCTTGAGCTGGGATGGGCTCCTGGCTACTACCCCCTAGAATGGATGCTGCAGAAGCAATTCCAGTGTCCTCTCCAGAAAGGGCTCTAAAATTACTAAGCAGAAGAATTAAAAATTGAAATGTGATCATGGTTCAGAAATTAGGGTCTTTAAAAATGGAGGAAATGAAAGTAGTACATGCTAAAATAAAACACTTGGGATTTGGAGTCAGAATCCAGCTTACCCACTTGTGTGGTCTTAGGCAAATCTCCTAAATATATTAGCCTCAGTTTCCTCACCCGTTAAAAGAGGGATTAGAATGCCTGCCTATTTAGTGGAAATGTTTTAAAGATCAATAGAGATAATTTCTGGAATAGTCCTTAGAAAAACAAAAAGTACTCAGTGTTGTGGAAGAGTCTTCAGGAAATGTTCTTTATGATCCCCTTGGACACTGGTGTTAGCATATAAACCCAGACCTGGGGCATCTATTTAGAAGAGGACCATGTGCAGGTATCTTCTTAGCTCTCAAGGAGCTTTAGCAGTATTGTACCATAACAAGGCCAGCCCACTTGTAGCAGATACAAATCTTCAGAATGACCCAGAAATTGCAGGTATTTGGGGAAGAGGCAAAAGGAGATTCTTTGTGGATTTAGAAGAGGACCATGTGCAGGTATCTTCTTAGCTCTCAAGGGGCTTTAGCAGTATTGTACCATAACAAGGCCAGCCCACTTGTAGCAGATACAAGTCTTCAGAATGACCCAGAAATTGCAGGTATTTGGGGAAGAGGCAAAAGGAGATTCTTTGTGGGGATGGTGGTCATACAACCTGGCTTGGGGTGTGTGTGTGTGTGTGTGTGTTTGTGTGTGTTTGTGTGTGTTTAGTGTTTACTTCCATTTTAGATTTCATGTGGAAATACAATGACAAATGTTCCTAAAGGCATTCTTTAAGTGACAAAGAGTGGATCCTCACATCATACTTAATAATACCTCCAACTAACCTAGAAACTGTGCCTGGAATCAAAATTCCATATACTGGGTAATAAATTCAAGAGATTTTCTTTTAAAGAGCTCAAAAGGGCATGGAAGATACTCTGAGAATTGAAAACGATTTGGAGTGGTCACAACTGGCACTGGTACCATCAGTTTCTCTCCTGAACATGACAGAACATGTTCAGTAGAAGCCGCATGGAAACTGAAACTCTGAAAAAGTCCTACTTAGGTTGGAAAACTTGCTGAAGGCAACCCCGATTCTGACTTCTGTGGAGGTAGAGAGCAAAGACTCTCCACTCCCAGTGGTTTCTCACTTGATGCTTGGGTTAACAGAAACCATAGGTCACACCAGGAGCACTCAGTGAGGTTTACAGTTAGGACAAGTACGCACGTCTCCCTTCTTTTTCCTCCCATGGATTCCATTTTTAGGGCCAAGATATACCCTGTTATTGTGGCTTAAAATGTTTTTTGAGGAAACTTTTTGGAAAAGGTACTGCATATACAAGGAAAACTCCAAAACCAACAGTACTCTGGCAAACTGAAAGTTGTTTACTTATGAGCACAACAAAGTGCATTCAACTCAGACAGGCAGTACCTTTCAGGCAGGTGTGACATCTCACAATTAGGGCCAGAAAGACAATTATAATTTTTACTGAATTTCTAGAACCAGTGTAGGCTAAGTAATGTAAGACAGGTTACCAAACTGTTTCCCATTCTATCTCTGTCTTATTTATTGAAACTGGGAGAAGATGTAATTAATTACCCACACTTCCATGGATTTCTGTTACATCTCTTATCTTACGGTATGGTCAGTATTTGCATGCTTTGCTGTTTTGCTGGGTAAGATGGCAGCACAGCCTGCTTCTCAGTCACACAATTATCCCTATTGCCTAACATAACTCGTAGCACCCCCGGACACTCAATCACAATATGCTGAGTGAATGACTGAATGAAGGTAATTAAACTAAATTATGTTACACTTCCAGTCTCATTAGCCACACAATGAAGAACTACATAAAAAGAATTTGATTATACAAGTCCTTGAATTCTGTTATCTCATTAAGTACCTTCCCACCCTTTTCATTATTCATATTCTTATGTAGTCTTGGTTCTCTCTTACTCATCTCTTTCCATGTGAAATTGCAAAGTCTCTCCAGTTTTTCCACGTTATGCTCTTTCCTCTCATGCTGATCTCTTCCCCTCTCCATTATCTTATGCTGAACCCCCTTCTTTCCTGTAAAGACACCTGAATACTTAACAACTGCAGTAATGCAACAGTTAGATTACATTCAGAGAGCCAAGGGTCAAGGACACATGAAAGTCCCTGAGCCCCCAAGTGAACTGACTCCGCTGACTGGAGCTACGAGCTGCCGGGCGCTCGGCTCCCGCTGCCTGACATGCTCTATGGCCCCCGCTGCCCTGCTCGCTTCTGCTTCTCCTTCAGGTCTTTGCTTAGTATCCGGCCCTCAGAGGACCAGCATGAACCCTCACCTCCTCAGTCCAAGTCAGGTGCCCCATTACAAGCTCTCCTCACTACTTTTACTTTCTCTTCTCAGCTTTTACCTGGACTCCAGCCACACACTTAATGATGACTCATTTCATGCATGTTTCCCTACACCAGACTATGAGATCTTTGGGGCAAAGGCTCTTCCTATTTTGTTCACCACTATGCTCCAGTACTTAGCACAGCCCTCAGCTTGGAAATATTTGTTAGATAAATAAATTAATGACAGAGAAAATCAAATGCCACATAGTCACCAAGACTACTCACAGGAGGCTGATGTTACAAGAATTTTGAAGAGAAAAAAATGTGAGGAGAAAAATAGTTTTAGTGAGAAGTAGCAGCCTGCAAAGGTTGTGTAGAATAAGGAAAAGGATTAGGGGCATAATATTCTCTTGAGTGATTACAATTGGCAGAAAGTCTATTCAACTGATGAATATAATTTTCTATGAACAGATGGACATAATGAAAATTAAAAGAGACAGTGCTTCCATCTGAAACAAGTAGATACATTTATCCGAAATAAAGCACTTTGAATACGGTCCATTACATTTTCATATCAATGTTCAATGTGTCCTATTCAGTAAAAAACTCTCTTAAGTATAAGTAGTGTGTACTATTTGAGCAAGAAAGAGCTCAGGAATGCTGACTCTTGTCAAAAACACTAAAATGGTCTCCATGCCATGCAGGCCTAATTCTGGGTGCTGCATTACTAGGATTCATCTGGTCGGAGCATAACTGTGTGCACCTTGTTTAGACAGAATCCCTTAGGTTTCTCTCAATCTGCTTTTCCGTAGACACAACCATTACAAGAATTTAGCATCCGGACAACACCAGTCTCAAAAGGATTCATTTAGGCATTAAAAAAAGGTTTTGTTTTGTTTTTTCTCAAATCTTTTAGCCCCCAATGTTCATCAACAAATCCTTCTGCCTCACCAATATCCTCTGTACTTTTCCACTCCAGGATTTGATCACATTTCTCTTTTTTTTTTAGAATTTGGAAGTAGTTGCCATCTTTAACATTCAGCTCACAGCACTTATACTCACAGAGCTGAAAGGAACATAAGAAATCATCTAATTCAATCCACTGATTTTAGAGATGCAGATTATTTTTCTGTAAGATCTATTTAGCTAAATTCAGATGAGCTTTCTTTGCCCTTAGAGACAAATTCAGAAATTAAAAATAGAGCACATACTGGGATGGATTGTAATCAACTTGGGGTAGAGATAGGGAAGGAAAGTTTAGGCTGTGAGAACCATAGCAGGGTCAAAATTACCAAGCAGATGAAATCACCAGAAGCTGAAAAGATATTGGTCATCTCTAAGTTAAGATCCTAAAGGTTAATTTACCAGCCTGAAAACAACAAGCAATGGGAGGCCATTTATAACTATTTTCATACTCACTATTAATATTACAATAAAGACAATAAGGCAATAAGTGAAAAAGGACATCGGCTTTGGAGCCAAACAAATCTAGGTTCACAACCTCATTCCACATGTAGCTGGGTAAGCTTGGAAAGGCCTGGGAAAGACTTGAATTTTAAAATCTGCAATATGGGGATAATAACTAACACCTACAATGTAGGGCCATTGTGAGGCTTAAATGAAATGGTTTATAAGAAATACTAGTAGATATACCTATGTCCATAGCCACATTATTCACAGCAGCCAAAAGATATGAACAACCCAAGCATCCATCAGTGGATAAGTGGATAAACAAAACATAGAATATACATACAATTGAATATTATTCAGTCTTAAGAAGGAATGAAATTCTGATACATGCTACGACACAGATGAACCTTGAAAACATTATGCTGACTGAAATAAGCCAGACACAAAAAGACAAGTATTGCATGACTCCACTTATATGAGGCACCTAGAATAGGAACATTCATACAGACAGAAGGTACAATAGAGGTTACCAGGAGCTGAGGGTATAGGGGAGCAGGGAGTTATTATTTAAAGGGTACAGAGTTTCTGTTTGGTATTATGAAAATGTTCCAGAAATGGATATTGGTTACTATAGATTAAATTGTGCCCCCCCCCCCAATTTAATGTGTTGGATGCTTGGTCCCCCCTGTGACAGTGTTAAAAGGGTGGAAAATCCTATTGTGGTAGTTGAAAGGTGGGGCCTTGGAGAGGTTTTGGATTGTGAGGACCATGCCCTAGTGATTGGATTGATCTGTCCTTGGAATAATGGGAGTGGTTCTGGTGGCTTTAAAAAGAGAGTGAATGAAGAGGTTAGTCTCTCTCTCTGCTCTGCCATTCTGCCACATGCGACCACTGTGTCCCTGTCACCACTAACAAGTCTCTCACCAGATGCATTCCTTGGACTTTGGACTTCCCAACCTCCGAAACTGTAAGCAATAAATATTGTTTCTTTACAAATAACTCAGTTTCAGGTATTTTGTTATAAGCAACAGAAACAGAGTAATACAGTGGTGATGGGCTAACAACATTGGGAATGTCATTGAATTGTACACCTAAAAATGACTAAAATGGCAAATTTTATGTTATGTATCTTTTACCACAATAAAAAAAGAAAAGAAACAAAACCCTAACCCTAGGGTTAGGGTTAGGGTTAGGGTACATGGTTAACAAATGGTAACACAGTCACATCCCACTCTGCCCATTTTACCTGCTCTAAGTAATGTAGTGACAAGTTGATATACTTGGCTTCTGTTAGAAGCTGGCCCCCTACTCCAGTCTTTGCAACTCGCTCTGAACCAGCCAGGTCAACCAAATGGAGTTTGGCATGTCGGACAGTTGCAGATCCTGGTTCCTTACTTGATAAATGAATAGTGAAAATGCAGTGGGAACGGGTTGAAGCTTGATTCATAGGAGTCTACAAAAAAGAAATTGCAAAACAAAAATAATTTGAACAATGAGAAATTTTGAAGAATATATAAAAGTTTAAATTTATATTTCTAATGAAATATAAAGACACTTCCTAAAAAGCCAGCACTGTCAAATGGAGCAAATCATTTGTAGCTGAGACCCTTAAAGTAAGTTCTTTTCAATGTATTACCTTTTGGATAAGTGATAACATATATGGATGGGTTGATTCAGAAAGGGAGAACAGGATCCTAATGATGTAAAGATTGAATCCTCTTACCAACAAAATAACTTTATTTCATTACTCCACTACAATCCACACCTCAGCCTTGGCTAGTCATATTGAAAATGCTTAATGTCAATCTCATAGCAAAACAGTGAGAATGTGTGGTTCAGGAGAATTCACTACCACAATTATAAACACACTCCACAGACAAAGACGCCCACCATCATTGCTACCACTCCACACTGAACCAGATGAAGGTCCTAGCCAATATAATAAACAAGAAAAAGAAACAGAAGACATAATAATATGAAAATAAGATACTGAAATATCCTTATGAATAGACAATATGGTGGTCAACATAGAAAACACAAGAGCATTGGGCCGAGCCCGTGGCACACTTGGGAGGGTGCGGCGCTCCTACGCTCCCGCGGCGGGTTCGGATCCTATATAGGGATGACCGGTGCGCTCACTGGCTGAGCACGGTGCAGCCGGTCTCAAAAAGGACAAAAAAAAAGAAAACACAAGAGCATTGGGCCGAGCCCGTGGCACACTTGGGAGGGTGCGGCGCTCCTACGCTCCCGCGGCGGGTTCGGATCCTATATAGGGATGACCGGTGCGCTCACTGGCTGAGCACGGTGCAGCCGGTCTCAAAAAGGACAAAAAAAAAGAAAACACAAGAGCATCTACAAACTATTAAGAACTAAAAAGTTCAGTAGGGTTACTGAAGATCAATATGTGAAATCAGTAAAGTTCTAATAACTCAGCAACAATTAATCAGGAAATATAATACTCTTAACAATGGCAAAAAAAGAGAATAGATAACAAAGGATTAATTGTATAAAAAATGGTAATTTATAGCTAAAAATGACAAAATAATATTAAAAAACACAAAAAGAAAACCTGAATAAATTATTTGCTAGATATTAATATACAACTTCATAGATGCAAAAACTCAAAATTAATCTATATATGATTGTCCATATGTTAACCTATATAGTGCAATGCAATTGAAATAAAAATGCTGCAGGTTTTGTTTACAGAAGAAGACAAAAAAATGGATTCTAAAATTTATATGGAAGAGAAAAATCTTCAAATGAAAGGGAAATTAATTCTATGAAAGAAGACTGAAGAAGGGGCCTTGTCCTGCCATCTGTCAGGTATACCATGAAGCCATAATTATTGAAACAGTGTGGTATTGGTCCAGGAACAGATAGGTAGGTCAGTGAAACATGCTGTGCTCACTGAGGTACTCTGTATAAGACAGAGGTGACATCACACTGTAGCAGAGAAAGGATGGACTAATTAATAAATGGTGCTGGAATAACTGGCTATACATCTTGATAAAAATAAATTTAGATTGCTTTCTCACACTATACACACAAATAAATGCCATCATGGATGAAAGCCTTATGTGTAAAATAACACAACCTTAACACTAATACAAAAAAAAAAAAAAAAAAAAAAGCATATGTAATCAACCCAAGGA